AAAGCTCGAAAAAATTCATTACAAAACAGAAAAAGGCATAATTGAATGTCCATTGCTATCATCCAAGACGACCATTTAAACTAAGGCATGAAATGCACTTATCCACATAGACCAAAACAAATAAATATGAATAATAAACTATAGTCAAAGGTTGAATTGAAAGTACTCTAGTGTATGTGGGACATTTAGGTACTTCTAAATTATTCATTATATGAACCTATGTCTAATGTATCACTTTAAGAATCAGATCGACTGTATGATGAATATTCGATAAAATGAATAAACAAATACATAAGTCAATAAATACTAGTGATTTTTACTTATTCTCTTTTATCCGTAAACTTTACACACTATGATTATTAATAAGAATAGGTATATATTTTTCCGGATACCACGAAATATATCATTATCCGTGTGATTTGTCGGGTACAAAATCATATTATAGTATATGTTTGAAATGGCTAAAATGTACTTAATATTTTACACTTTACACCGATATAACGTGTAAAATGATTTAAACGAGATTCTTTAGTACTGCTTCATGAATAATGATACTTTTAAAAATTATATGCGATAAATATTACAGCATAACACAGCGATTTTAACCATCAAAACAATGATTTAGGCAAGGTATATTTTCACGTAGTTTCTGCGGCAGCGCCTGTTTCAATAATTAAAACGAAATCAAACGGTCGTTTAAAAGGATTTTAACGGATATTTTCCTTGGCTTTGTGAATATTGCGCCTTTCTCGTCTTCGACGCCTTCGTCAATCCCCTCTATTCATCGCTTTACCGTAAAACAAAAAAAAAACAAAACGAGCTCCGGCGTCTCTCTAACTCTCATCCACTGCACGGCGACCCAACATCTGTTGCAGCGCCGCCGGTGGTGGTTGGATATTAATAATAAAATTCAAGACCGTTGCCACGTTAAGTGGCCTCCCCCTCCCTGACGTCATCTCTCAATCCGAATAATTTAATTGCCATAGCGGTCCCCATAATTCTTCGTTCGTCCATCCGTCTCTCTCCGATTCCCACCCTTATTTTCGCGAGATATCTTAACGCGTCGTACTCCGTCGTCGACGTTTCAATGTTTTCTCCTCATTTGGGTTCAACGGAAGGGAGTAATATTTTACCACTACCGCTACCACCGTCTCGTATACTATACATACTATACGACCACATCTGTCAGTAATATCTCTCTTCTTTTTACCAAAACGACGTCGAGCGACGGGTTTTAATTGCCACTTTCCGACGCGGCCACCCCATTCCAAAAATATTACTCAAAACGTTTTTAATGATTACACAAGTAAACAACCCGCACTTCCTCAATAGCAAAATCGTTTGCACACACACGCGCGCGCATGCTAACGGTGATAGGGTAAATTATAAAAACGTCAAGGGTGCAAACCGTTTATATGTGTGGTGGGAGAAAAGGAAAAGAGAAATCGGCTTTTCGGTACTTTCCTACTGAATTTTCCCGCAAAATCGCTTTAAACCCTTTATACGCGCTGTGCACCGTATGTAAACTATACAAACGATGAGCTTTGATGAGACAGAAAAATCGAGCCAGTGTGTCACAGACCATGTATGGACATACATGGATATCCGTTTAACAAAACGCAGTCCAGTTGAGAGACATGAAAATATACTATACACGCGCGTAAGAAAAACATAATATAGAATTGTGGAGGGTGCAAGAAAATTGTCGATGACGACAACAAATGACTTATGTATGATCATCGTCATCTTCACCACACAGTCTATTGACACAGTCGTAAACGCCGGGTTTTATTTATACTGATACTTGAAAATAATATTTTATTAAAAAAAAAATAATAACCGTTCAGTCTTTAGAGATTGTGAAGGCGATGATTGAACGGTGGAAAGGTGTAAATACCCACTGATAATGCGACTGCAGATGACTTTTTTTGTCATAAATGTACGTGTATATTGCATGCGTGATTTTCAAGTAGGGCGTGTTATCTCATCGTCACCGTCGTTTGGGTGTATTCTGTTAGCATGAAACCTACACGAATGCACGATTGCTTGAGATTCGAGTTATCATATTATATTAACATACGTTTTATAAAAAAAAAAAAAAAATAATAAAAAGTTACGTTGTATTGTATTATTAATACGTAACAACAACAAGGCATTCGGTTATTTTTTGGATCGATAAGCATTCCTTTTGCCTACAATCAAGAAGAGGAAGAGTAACATCACAATACGTTCAAATACCATCTCGTTTGAATATATTTGATTCTTTTTATTTTTCATCTCGATTCTGTGAACACAAAATCACAAGATCAACTTTTATAAAACGTACTTAATAACCTGGCTTAGATAAGAATATGTCTTTTGTGTATCGGTATTTTTCGATTTTATTCATCGACTTATGTACGATTTAATTTTGAATAAATTAAAGCTCTATAAAATTAAAGGTAAATACATACGATAAACTAGCTACATCAAGATTAATTCAACGGAGCAACTAATTCGTATTTATCCGACATTTTTACGAAAATCAAAACAAATGATTCTAAAATACCAAATAAATGGAAAGAAAAAAAAGGATATCATTGAACTTAATATAGGTACCCAATTGAATTAAAAGAAATGAAAAAAAAACACAATGTTATGGACCACTTGCAAAAACATCACATAGGAAATTTCATATTTTTCTAACAAGAGTACGCATTGGCATTTTCAACTCCCATACTCTTACCTTTCATCCACGACTTGTATTCTACTTATCGTACTGATCGTACAAAAAATCCCGAACGACGAAAAGCGAATAAAATTAAAAATATCTAATAAAAATAAATAGATAATAACAAACATAATATATATAATATACATTTATAAGTTTTTGAAACATATGATTCAATAAAGCATAAGTTACTCACCTAAAACCTATAATTGTTGTATATAAATATATAATATTAAATTATATTTTGCGATTAAAATATTTATTCTATTTATACTTTTTTTACACATTTATAGTAATGTATCCAAAGTAGGTAACTAACTTTGTAAATTGTATTGTATTATAAGTACTTTTACATTCGATTTTAAAATGTGAATAAGTATGATTAAAGTCTTTAAAGGTTAATTGGTTTATTATTGTGTACGTTTAAAGAATACATTTTTAGTACCTACCTATTTAATCCGTTATTTTAATAACACATTTTAAAACTTCAGTTTGTTTTTCTATAGGTGTACTTAGCTTTAAAAAACTTTGAAATTCAAAACTTTTAGTCGTGACTTAATGTTTTTTAACAATAAATAATTTTACAATATTATTTAATCGTACATAACAAAATTTAACTCATAACGTTTATTAATGAAATATGGATTCTCTCTAATCAATCGAATAAAATTTAAAAAATATACAGGATTGCATCTAATCTAATCTTAATTTCAAAGGCAGTGGTTTATAAATTAGTGTTCATATAAGTCATACTAAGCCATATAAAGAAAATTTAAAAACATTTGTTTTGCAAGAAATATCATTATTTATAATTATATTTTATCGATTGAACAAACAACAATTTATAAAAGTATTTCTCAGAAAATTAGTCATTTTATTTCAGTTATTGAAGCGTTTTAAACCTAATACTTACGTTAGTATTCAAACTTTTTTCGGCCACAATTCATCAAATAATTTTTAAAAGAGGATTTACTTTTTCCAAAACACTCGCTCAAACAACTTTAACGACATTAAGGCGGTTTAACGATTGTCGAACATTTTATTATCTTCATAACGCACATAAGCTTGGCTGAAATTTACTACCCCCTCGACAAATTATATAAGCCAGCACTATCCCAATAAAACATGTTATTTAATCACATTATTTTTGTTTGCTTTTGGAAATTAACGAATCAAAACGACTCCATAAAAGTTGTTGCTTTAATATCTAAAGATATACAATGATTGTAACATGTAAGCATGGAACCACGGGATTTAGCCATTTAGACCATCATTTAAATTTATTTAATATAACACTGGAAAATTAAATATAATAACCTGAGTGACTAAGTAACAAGTAATAATATAAACCTAGGAAAAATTCAAATAAATATGTATGATAAATATTAGATTTAATATCTGTATCTATATTTTATTATTATTATTTATTTAAGAATATTATTTTAAAACCATTAGTTTTACAATGTTTGTCTAATAAATAATTGTTTAATAATCTAATGCCACAAGTTGTGCACCTGTGCACTATACCTTATATTTTTTTAAACAACTGTACTTATATTAAATATTTCATATTTGACTAATTTAACTTGAACTAAGATTATTATATTTAAAAACTGTACATTCATGTATACTGCTATAACTTATTTTAATGGTTTTCATTCTGAATAATTTATCATAATGACAACATATGCCCAGAAACAATTTTGACATTAATTTAAATTAATGATATTGTTTGGAAATTTTTAAAACTATTAAAAAGAAGACAAAAGTCAAACATCTTAGTTTTCATTCCAGCATATTAAACATAACCAAACATTTGTCGGTTTACTTATATAATGCAATATGTTATATTACGTATAATACACGCTATGAAGTATCTATATAAAACATTAAATTTGAAGTGAAATTTAATAATTTTTGTTAACATTTAATAAAAATGTAATTAAATAACCTTCAAAATATTAGAATAATTTAATTTATTTCTGGAGTATTCATAAGTAATTATATAAACAAATAAAAAATACCGGCTTTCGAACTAAAACTAAAATATTAACTTTTGAGAAAAACTGTTTTATTTGGATTTGATAAATTATTATTAATATACTTTAATATCCCTAAAAATACCATGAATACTTATTATACTACACCTTTTAGTTAAAAACTTTATTTGTTTGATAAATTCCTAAAAATGAGACTTTTTACCGTCATATCATTAAATATAATTTAAAATATTCAACCGTTATTGTGAATATAGATAAGTAAAAAAAATGATTTATAAATAATGACTTACCATTCAAGACAAACAATAGAATAACTGAGTTCCAAAACATTTTTTTTTTTGAATTTGAATTGAACTCCAAATCTAGTTGTTGTTATACCGCATGAATTAGGTAAATCATTCTGTAACCATAATATTGCATTTATGAAAGAAGTATAGTTTAACAAATAGAAACTGAAAAAATGTAAAAACAAATAGGTACTATTAAAGTATTATTGTACTGTTAGTTGAAGTAATTAAATAAACTATTTATCTTATATGTTTTTACCGTGTTATTTTGTTTAATTGATTTTAAATATTTTTATTTATCAAAAACAAAACATAAATTAAGATCAAAATTAAATTAGTTACAGAATTAATTAACTTATCTCCTATACGCTTATGTAGCTTGTGTTGAAGATAGGGGAGCTATAATTACTGCTAAATATAATAAATAAGAACTTAATTTAAGTATAAATTAATGATAAGATTCAATACTACAAAATCGAAAAAATCTAAAAACTTAATTTCAAGATTTTAAAAAATATTCTTAAAAGAGAAGAGAAGAAAAAGTCATTTTTATATGGAACAATCTTACAATAAATAAATAAAATAAATATTAACGATAAGTAAATAAATAAAATAAATTAGGTAGATACAACAAATAACAAAATTGTAACAAACATGCATATAAGAATAATTGGTCCGTGATAATACGTTTTAAATTATGCAAGCTAAAATGATTTGAAAATTAAAATAATTAATATTAATATATTAAGATGCATGTTTTCAAGGTTATTTTAAAACATTCTAAATAAGATAATGTGTATTCAATTTTTTTTGTGAAATCTTAAAATTTAACACAAAAAATGTTTTCATATTATTTTGTCATAGTTTAAGGAAAGTGCATATTATTTGAAAATAATATGTATAATAATATTGTGTATTAGTGCATTTTTCATATTTTTCCAATTGAATTATTTATTGATAAATATCCTATTTAATTAATACTTAATATTTCCTAATGTAAATTATCTATATATTTAAATACCTTATTACGAGTTTATTTTTTCATTAATAATCAACCTTGCTATCAACAACCGTAGGATTAGAAATTTATAATGATGTCTAGATTTTATCTTGTACAAAGAAATAAAAATTAGTGCGAGTTACAGTGTTTATTATTGTAACGATAAATATTTCGTAACCGAGTGCATCGTCGACTGTCGTGTATCTATTTACATATATAATTTACCGGAGTTTTTTTTTAATTACCAATGTTTATCATGCTTTTTTAAAAATGCTTAAAATATCAAATAATAAACGTATGATTCAATACTTGCATGAATACGTAAAGTATATTTTCTACTGATGGAATTATTGTATACTCTTTAATCTGAACAAAACCTAAATAAGTGTTGATAACCGATAGATGATTTATTATCACACAATAAATAAAAATTGCATACTTTTAAAAATATGTTAGTAATCTTATTTTAATTGCAAATTTTAAGGACTTTTGGTTTTTTATTTTATTACATTAATTATATTATACTAATGATAATAACTCATAACATTTACATTGTATAATATAGTAATTATATACTTATGTCTAGTGATATCGAAGCATGATTGTATAATTATTAAATTATCTTTTCTGTCATCTTAATTTGTTGGTTCCTTTTTTCAAATCTTCGAGAAACCGTTTAACATTATACCTTTAACAGTATATAATTTTTCTTACTACTCTATACATATTAATAATAAGTATATTATTGACTTATTTTTTTCGTCTTGTGCTAAAATCCATGATTGCATTCTAACTTATCTAACTTATGAAGTCTGTTATAATATTTTAATAGTATGTCATCATTATTGTAAATTGTTAAGAAAAAACTGTTTGTACACTTTATTAATATTATTAATATTATTTTCAAGAAATAGTATACTAATTTTAATTTGATGTATGTGATATATGTGGAGCTATAATAAACAAATACTGAGTGACTAAACTCTTACCCTGAACTTCCTAGTTACGCCAATAGTAATAGATGGGTGATTAAATGAATCAAATATGATTATTAAAATACATACATTTTTCTTAATTAAACTTTCTTTTTTTATTATCATTGTAAATAATTAACTTTATGACTAAAAACATAAAATTATTCCTATAATGAATAAAATATTGTAAATTATTAATTTATTATTGAGCAATTAAAATTTTAAATTAAATACCCAGTTTAATTTGTCATATAAAAATACTCAAACGTTCAATAATAATATGACAAATGAACCATTAGATTAAATACTTTAAGTACACATTATCAAAAATTAGAAATAAAACCCACTTCAAAAAAGTTTAAAACTGCATTTTGCAATGATACTATGGTTAATTAATGAAATTTCAAAACTTTTAAGATCACTGAGACCTCTACATATATTATTTTAACGACATACTTAATTCAATTATAATTATCCAATTATTTTTAACAAGTTCATTTTTCATACCACTCGTACATTAATCGATAATATCCAATTTCCTACTATCTTAATCTACAATTTATATATTAAGAAATACTATATTTTATACATGAGATCATTAAATAAAAACGAAAAACCAATCTTAGACACATCAATATACGCAATTGTAAGTTAGTTTTTATAAGGTTTTTATAACGATTTGATAATTTGAATACGTATTTTTAGTATATATCAATTACTTTCATACCTAAAACTATTAAATATATATACAAAAATCAATATCAGTTATTGAAGAGAGATATAATTTAATACTTATTAATTTCGAAGGTACCGTAAAGATGTTTTATTTCTACATAAATTACAAAACAATAAAATAGTGTGTCCTTAAACATAAGATCAATTTAATTCTCTTGTTTCACAAATAAATACTAGAATACTAATATCACTTTATTGTATAAAATTGTAAAAAAAAAAATATATTTGTCATTATTATACTCAACATTTAGATAAAATGTATTTTTTAGTTATATGCTAAATTATTAAGACACAATATAAGTTGGTACTAAATTTATAATAATATAGTGTATCGATAAATATTAAAACTAAAATTGTAGTTTTTGCTTTTATATCGTTTATATTAAATAAATAAAACCAATAATATAAAATGATTGTGGACTTAACTTAAAATATATCATTTTTTAAATATATATTTAAGGGTTTGAAAATTTAATTTATACAGCTAAAATGTAATGACAATATTAACACGGTAAATAATTAATTTATAAAATAAATGAAAAAAACCATTGTATGAATTTTTAGAAGTTTTTATATGTACCAATTTTTTGGATAAATGTTTTGTTAAAGACTCTTATAATTTGGAAAAATAAGAAATTATTATATTGTTAAAACTCTACTATGGAATATATTTTTACATATAAATAATACAATATCTAATTAAATATTTTTATGATATTCTATATTTTTTAGTTTTAAAACTTTTTTTGGATATTTTTTATCAATGATACTTTTTTATTTATATTCAAATAAAATGAAACAGTCTTTACTATTTTCGACCAATTAGCGATAATGACCACACTACTTATAGATGTATCATACTATAAATACAAAAATACAAAGAAACAACACAACTTTATTAAATTATAATAATTTAATAATATTATGACACCATTGTTTAAGGATTGTATTTTAAACTTAAATAAATTAAAAATATTTCAGTTTTGAATTGATTAGACAAATTTTATTTTATTTAGATACCATCTTACAGACCTAATTTTTTTTTTTATTGACATTTTATATGCACGTAACGAATGAAAAATACTTTTTTTCTTGAAATCGAAAACACGTATTGGTGGCTACGTCAATTTCAAATTCGTGATCAGAATACCGTAATTGTGACATTTCAAGAAAGAAAAAAATCGACTTTACATATACGCTAGTCTTTAAAGATGCATGTACGTAAGGAAATTCTTAGTTGGATAGGGAAAAGAGAGGCGAGTAAAAACACGTTGCTGAACTCGTCTAAAAATTGAAAAACATATTAAATCGATTTCAATTCAATGTTAGAAGATAGATGCCCTTATAACAAATATTCTAATGCAAAATAAAAGATATCCGAAGAAAATTTCAAATGCGAGGAGTACAAGTCACAAATATAAGTGTATGCCTATATAATATACGCATACTAGCCGGTAAGGTATAGGGTATAAAAATATCATCAAAGAATTTATACGAGAGCTCAACAAATCAGTATGTATGAAAATAATAATAAGTGAAAAGTCTAATAGCCATCGTGCGATAATTTGATAATTAATGTTATAATTATATTACAATTTCATGATTAAATATACTATGTATAATCGCAATAAAATATATTATTTTATATCAATTATTTATATTTATTTTTGAAAACACGCATCTTTAATTTGCATAAGTTATATCGATAGAATTAATGGTAATTAGTCTCATAACATTTTTTCGGGAGTGAGAAACTATGGTTTTAAATTATTAAAATAAATTAAACTTTTTTTTTAAACATTTAATTTTACAGATATTTTTCATATCTAATGATCGATAATAATAATTCAAAATTTCTAATGAATATTATAAATTGCTAACATTAAAAAAAAAAGGTGAAATTAATGTATTGCGATTGCAAGAATGTTCGGTTAAACAAAATTTCGGTTTACGCTAATGTACTGATTCTTTATCAAAATGTTATACAAAAGACGATTACAGTAAAATAAAAGCAAGGCGAATATACGTGACTTGCGAATGAAAAATTATAACTATGTCTAACATCAAAGGAACTTCCGTTCTATCGTCAATAAATGTATTAGGATATACTTGATTTTACATAAGATCGTTTACATACGGGGTATAAATTTATATTCCAGGATAAGTTATTCTAATCACAATCAAAATAACAAAAATAATGATATTAACCTATACATGTTTAACGAATATCAATTTTTTTGTACTGCTTCAAAATAACTAATAAAATCATCTTTTTTTAAATAAATGTTATAAATATTCAATTTCATCAAAATTTGCATTTAAAATTTCTATAAGAAAAAATCAAACATTTATATTTTTGAGATTTTCTGATTTCTTTAATAAAAACTTATAGTGACCTAGTTAC